AATGTAAAATGTCTTTGGAAATATCTTAAGATAGGAACACACACTTTGCAAGCACAGGCTCATTGATCTCTAGCCTTATGATTCCCAGGAAAAACTAACATTTCCAGTAAAAATCAAGGAAGAGGGGTTGGGATTTAGATTATAACTGCATCCAAGGTATATTTTTATATTTTACATTCATTTATTCAAAAAGATAATCAATTGCTTAAGGTATTAGGCAATGGGGAAGCAAGAGAAGTAAAAACATGGGCGATATAGATGAGAAAAAATAAGGCATATCTTTAGACTCCACCCCACTAAGTAAATTATTTTATTGACTAGAAGCAAGCTAATTCCGCCAACAATTGACTTAATATAGCTTTCATGACCAGCACCATCATCTTTTAGCCTGTTCTTTTACTTGTCTATGATGAGGTGTGACATTACCCAGACACTTGGATAAGGGCCACAAATTATTTAAATGAAAAATAAGCAAAAGTAGACTTATAAACAGTATGCCTGACAATGTGTGGGTTGTAAATAGTTATCACAGAGCTATGATTATTGCAACAGAAGCTTGAGATGGAACTGAGAATATGTCAAATCACTATGAGAATGAATCTACCATGAGGTCCTTTTTCTGGAATATCCTTGTAAATTTATTTTATATTTTTGTACAAGTTCTCTTGGTCACCACCCACAGGAAATTGAAAGCCCTTGGCAAGTGCACTGTCATAGATCTAAGAGTCTGCAATTTCAACATAAATTCAGGCCATTAGATCATTTAACAAATACCTTCATTAGAACTGTTTCTGTATATGCCATATAATGTGACCAAACAATCACTTCATCAATAATAAAAATTCACTTTTCCATTAAAGGCAACTTTTGTGGAACTGAAGTCATGTTGACAACTGATGAATAAGTTGAATTTTTTAGGTTAGGGTGAAGTAATGTTGGGTCCTATGCATTTAATCCTAATATATTATGATTACCTGAAGGACTTCCAAACTTAAAATCTACAATAGATATAGTAGATCCTGGTTGGATTTTCACTCAATTTTGCACTTCAGTTTATAGTCAATAATAGAATGCGCACAGGGAAAGGAAGTTGAATCATAGTCAAGATTATGAGCTTATACTTAGAGTTCTAAGAGGCTTATACTCATAGAGATGATAAAGGTAATTACTCAAAATTATGAAAACCTTAGTTTCCATGACAACAACAGCTTTAGAATCAAAGTTCACAGCATTCTACTGTAAATTTGTGCATTCTTGAATTATAAAAAGTTGATGTCTCAATGTCATCTGTCTTTCTAGAACTATAATCAGCTTTAACACCAAATATTGTTAAGACACTTGTTTGTAATCATATGAAACTAGCACAGGCTTGGAACTCAAGAAAATTACTGACAATCATAAAAATGTTCCCATGAGTTCAATGCATGAGCTAATATTTCTGGGACTATCGATAATCCAACAAGAGAACAAACAAATTCTCGAAAGCTACACCATATTAGCATAATATTCCACAAGTATACGCAAGTGCAGTTCTCAGCTAATGATAATACTGGGTTAAACCATATAATATTGCCAATATCCAAGAACTTTTTGGCCAACAAAATGACAATTTCATATTATCATGCAAAATAATAGTACTGATATTTTCATGAATAGTGTGTTAAACATGCTACATTTCATTGCAGTGTGGTATTTATTACTGCAGCATTAAAGCTAATTCCCATAA